GGGGGGAAATCAGTTTCCAAAGAGTAAATAAATACATCTTTAGGATTTTAAAATTATATTCTTTATACAAGTCTTTTTGAAAGAATGAATGCACACATGCATGGATGTGGATACAACAGAGTGAGTACCAGAACTAAAGTGTATTCGCCCAGGAAGCACTTCCCAGAGTCTGAAGTGGCTGCAGAAGTTTTAGGTGGATGCTTGAAGGCACTTGAATTTGAGAAAACAGCCTACACCAAGGAATACTAGAAAGTGTGTACAGCAAGTTTTGTGACTGAAGCCAGAATTCTTGCAGATAGCTGCTGGGCGCTGTAGTAAGATCCAATATTTGCACTTTGTGTTAGAACTGTACTTTGTATGTTGTGTACCAGTGTGAAGAATTGATTCTTACTTGAAGATTTTTTAAACTCCTAAAAACAATAAAGATAATTTAAAGGAAGGGAGATGAAAACTTAGAATCTCAGTACTTTGGTAAATCAACGGCCAACTGTTAACTTGGCTTCCTTTCTGAAGATAGGTATGTCTCCATAGAAACCTGAAATCATTGTGTTAGTACCATTCAAGTAACCAGGACCTCATCTGGCCTTTAGGAAGGCATGGAGATCATTAACTTTGCATTGAGTAGGCATGCTTTTTACTTGGTTGGTGGACCAAAAAAAAAAATCATCTCTTCTAATGAAAAGGGACACAACTTTGGAACCCTGATTTTCAATTGAACTCTGACATTACTTAATTTTATGATTTTAGATAAATAATTATACTTTTTGGAATTCAAGTTCTATTTCTTGCCCAGATGGTGTGGCTCAGTGGATTCTGCCTTGTGCCATGGACTGAGTCCAGGTAGGGAGCGTGCAGGAGGCAGCAGTTGATGTTTCTCACATCGATGTTTCGCTTTCTTTCTCTCTAAAAAAATAAAAACATTAAAAACCCCCTTCTATTTCTTTTTTAAAAATATGTTTTCATTGATTTTTTTACACAGAGAGATAGAAGCATCCATCAGCTGCCTCCTGCACACCCCTAAGTGGGGATCTAGCCTGCAACAGGGGCCTGTGCCTGACCAGGAATCGAACCAGGACCTCTCAGTCCATGGAACCATGTTCAATCCACTGAGCCACAGCAGCGGGGCAAAATTTCTATTTCTTAAGAAATGGATTGGACTAATGCAATTACTTAATTTAATAGGTATTTTCTGAGTGCTTGTTATGTGCCAGGCACTGTCTTTAATCCTTGGGAAACAAAAGTAAATATAAAGATCTGTCTTCTTAAAGATTACAGCATAATAGGAGAGACAGACTTCATGTACATATAAATACAAAATAATGTGTCAGTAACTTTACTAGTCACCTTCAGTTGATATATCATGATATAAATTCTGTCTTCATTTTTTCTTTCTCTCCTTTGTCATTAGCGTTGTTGTAGTAGGGTAGAAAGGGGTTAAGGAAACTAGCACCTTGTAGATGTATAACAAATGTGTTGATCATATGGATGGATACTTGCAAGTTTCAATTATACCTGGATGTATTGATTTTTAAAATTCATTTACCTCATAAATCTTATCCAAACCAACATATTTTCTTATTAACTCCCCTCAAACATTGCTTATCTGGGAGATGTATCTTCAGGTATTATTGTAAAATGTGCAGCACATATATATGACTGAATGAGAAAACTATTATATTTGTAATTATTGATCATATTATATTGCTACAGTGAAATTTACATTATTCTTTGTCTACAAATGTATATGATTTTGTAGTTCCTATTATATCCTCTTTTCTTCTGGCAGTAGGTAAGTTTATAGTGCTTATAGTTCTAAGCAAATTTAATGTTACAAGCTCTGAAAGTTAGCTCAAGCAGTTAGTTCTTTGTTCAAAATTTTATATCAATATATCCTTTTTCTATGTAAGCTTACTGTATTTCCTTACTCATATGGAGTGCATGCATGGTCATAAACCTATCAGAAGCTGAAAAATAACACTTTGCTCTCACCGTTTATTGAACTATTAGTCACATATAAGGTTTAATGGGTTAAATACATGGAACACTCTATAAAAAATTAGCCTTTCTTCATTCATACCAGTATGTCTAAAACCCCTAACTGTATTAATGTATCAAAAATGAAAATGTTTATGAGTATATAATATATTCTATATAAAATATAAATGACATTCATAGAAAAATATATTTATATAATATATATAAATATTATATTGATAAATATAAATTTATGTATTTATATTGTATATAATTTATGTTTTTAAACATTTTGTATATAAATTAGAGCACCTTTCTCCATTTTTTGTCTTTATATAATACTTTATTCCTCAATATTTTGCTATTTAATGCAATGGACATTAATAATGTCAACTTTCTAACTATTGACAGTAAGTGAAAAATATGAAATGTAATTTTATATTTTGAAACTGCTATGCATAATCCTGACTTAAATGCCAAATTGATATACATATATAATTATCACCTGAGGACATTAAAATTTATTTTTATTGATTTTAGAGAGAGGGGAAGAGAGAGAGAGACGAGAAGAGATGAGAAAAGAGAAGAGAGAAGAGAAGAAAGAAAGAAACATTAATGTTTGCCCTAGATGGTTTGGCTCAGCAGTTAGAATGTCAGCCCATGGACTAGAAAGTCCAGAGAGTCCCTGGTTCGGTTCCGCCAGGGGCACATACCTTGGTTGCAGCTTGACCCCAGGCCCTGGTTGGGGTCGTGTGGGTGGCAACCAGTGAATGTGTCTCTCTCACGTGGATGTTTCTCTCTCTCTTCCTCCCACTCTGTTGAAGAAATGTCCTTGGGTGAGGATAAAAAAAATAAACATCAATGTTGGAGAAAAACATGGACTGGTTGCCTTCTGTACATACTCTGACCGGGCTGGAACCAAAAACCTAGGTATGTGTCCTGACTGGAAACCAAATCAGCAACCTTTTTGGTGTAGGGGACACTCAACCAACTGAACCACCCAGCCGAGCCAAACTGATATTTTTAATATGAGCTCTTTAGAATGGTAAAGATGAAAATAATGTGTAAGATTCATATTATACTGTCACATCAAAAGCAAAAGGAAAATTTATGTTAAATAGGAAAGACATGCCCTGGCCGGTTTGGCTCAGCGGTTAGAGTGTCGGCCTGCGGTCCAGAGAGACCCGGGTTCGGTTCCCGCTAAGGGCACGTACCTCGGTTGCAGTGTGTCCCCGGCCCTGGTCGGTTGTGCGGGTGGCAGCACTTGATGTGTTCCTTTCACATCGATGTTTCTCTCTCTCTCTCTGTTCCTCTCCCTCCCACTCTACCTGAACAAAAAATGGAAAAAAAAAAAAAAAGTCCTCGAGTGAGGAAAAAAAAAGGAAAGACATTGTTTAATATGAGTATAAATTGATTAAGAAAAATCTTTTTTAAAATATGTTTTTAGTGATTTTTTAGAGAGAGAGGAAGGGAGAGAGAGAGAGAAACATGGGTGAGAGAGATACATCTATAGACTGCATCCTGCACGCCCCCTACTGGGGATCAAGCCAGAAACCTGGGCATGTGCCCTGACAGGGAATGGAACGGGGACCTCTTAGTCCCTGGGCCAATACTCAATCCACTGAGCAACGCTGGTCAGGCTTTTCCCAAATTTTGAAATGATATTGTCTATTTATATCTTTGTTCGAGAAGTGCAGTTGTTATAGCTAAAATTATGTAAAAGGACCTAGGTTATTTGGTGGCCTTCAGTCAAATTTTAATGGACACAGACAACAAGGTGGATAGGGCCAGAGGGAGGGGTAGGTGGGATCTGGGTGGAGAAGGGTAAAGGGGTGGGGGATGAGTAACATCTGTAATAATGCTGACAATAAAAAAAAATAAAATAAATGGTGGTACTCTTTTAAAAGTCTCACAATATAATGTTGATAGTCATTAGCAATTAAATTTGTCATGATTTTTAAATGAATAGCTCATTCTGTTTGTGAATCCTCTGAAACACCTCCCCAGACTTGCTCAGACTGGTTTCTGTTGATCAATGATGTAAACCAAACACCCCTTCCCTTCCCTTCCCTTCCCTTCCCTTCCCTTCCCTTCCCTTCCCTTCCCTTCCCTTCCCTTCCCTTCCCTTGTACGTGCCCCTAGCGGTAACCGAACTGGGGACACTCTGGTCCACAGGCCAACCTCTGAGCCAAACCAGCCAGGGCCAAACACTTATTTTCTTAAAGTATCTTTGGAAATTTACAGACTTAAATTTTCAAAAAACAAATTTAATTTTGAATTTATAATGCATGTATTAGATAGAACAATTCTCTGTTTTCCTTGCCTATTTAAGTCAATTGCTGGAAGGAAAATAAAAGATAAATTAAGTAAGCATTTGAAAATAGAACCTATAATTTAAAAAATGCTTGTTATACTAAAAACAAAAATATTTTTTATTTTCAATTTTAGATCTCAAGAGACAGCCTAGCAGTTTGAATTTTAAAATAGCCACTGAGTTTGGGTTGTAAAATGACAAACATGAAAAGGCCATATTTTATACTTGACAGTTTTATGGACATGGATTTCATTATTGATTTTATGGTATAGAAAGACAACTTAGTTTATAATCAAAATTAACATAAAACCACAACTTTTTCTGACTCTTTCCATTTCTAGCATTTGCTAACATCACATTTGCTCTGCTTTCAACAAATATGTTCCTCCTACCACTTCTGAAATCCTGAGGTTAAGAGAAATAAAGAAAGATATAATTAGCTTTTTCTTTCCCTTACATTCAAATTGTGTAGTTGAATGTTTGTGACTTATTACAAAGTCTTTGACTTAAAAATCTTTCTCAAAACTACAAGCTAATTGGGTAAAAACAAACTGCCTGACCTTTTCAACAAACAGGGTGGAGCAAGAGGTCAGGATCTTTTACATTAAAACCTACCAGAAGGTGACAATCCTGCCAAAGAGCAACCTCACTGAATATCAGAATTTCTTTTTTGGTGAATCTGAGTACTTCTTTTGCTTCTGTCAGATTCCAAATGAGAGTATACATATTTCTCTGTTTGATGTGCTGGGCAAGATCTGGTAAGAACTTGATAATTTGATTTATCTTTAAAAATTATGTATAAAATAATCAGTTTGGTCTGTATTGTGAGATATAGAATGCTGACATGATATGAAGAAATATACTATGATTATGGATACAAATGATATCAAACAGATTACTATGAAGAAAGTTTGTATATATATGTATATAAGAGTGTGTGTGTGTGTGTGTGTGTGTGTGTGTGCGTGTGTGTGTGTGTGTGTGCGTGTGTGTGTGTGTGTGTTTTGGTAAATTGTATATTCTGTTTTTCCTTTCCTGATAATAGGTAACTAGAATACCTTTTACAAGAATATGCTGAGAAGAAATTGAAATATTAAGAGAAATTAGAATAATTTAGTAATAAATTAATTCAGTGTTTGAAAAATTTGGCATAAAAAACAGCTTGTTTCAATATAATTTGTTCAAATAACTCTACCATTGAGGAAGACTTTTACATAGGTATATTGTCAATTGCAAAGCAAACATACTACAACTTTCTTTTTTGTTTCTTTCTTTTTTTTTTTTGGTCCTATTATGCTAGAGCAAATCCCAAACTGATTTATGGTAATAAAGCAGAACTTTCTTCTTCTGGCTTGCTAGTTTATGGTAACAAAATTTACTACTTTTAATAATACCATTTCTTATTTTATGGCAATAAAGTAGAACTACTTGATCTAGTTCTACTTTATGATAGTAAGAAAAGTAACAAATTTAAAATTCATGATGAATAGTTTTTTGTTGGGATTTTGGAAAAGCAGATTCTTTTCTTTGTTTTTATTTATTTAAAACTCTTGACTGCATACTCGAATAACCTTAAAAATATAACCTAAATATTCAAGTTATTTTTTGTTTCTCTTCCATTAGATATTTGAGTTAACCATACATTTTGGAAATGTTTTAGTTTTATATTATGTGGGGGAGGAATAAACTTTCCTCTCCCCTCAAAGTTCTTTCAGCTAGTCTGGTAATCAAATAGGCATGAGACAGATTAACAAGAGAACATAACCTAATTTAATACATATGTATGCATGGGAACCTTGAATACATGGGAGATTCAAAGACAGACAGTGAAAGCCATATATGTGACATTCTAAGCTTCAGAACAGGGGAAGTCATTTATAGGATGATAAGAGCAGTTATTCAGCAATTAGAAGATAGGCCAAAAAAAAGTTATATGTAGATGATCTTTTATTACAGGCAAGGCCCTAATTCATATAGTTAAGGGGAGGGGCAGAAGTTTTTCTTTTCTCTCTTTTCTTCTTTTTAATCCTCACCTGAGGGTATTTTTCTATTTATCTTTAGAAGGGAGGGGGGGAGAGGAGAGAGAGAGAGAGAGAGAGAGAGAGAGAGAGAGAGACATCGATGTGAGAGTGAGGGAGCACACAGTTTTTGAGCCTACAGGGTCTTGGTTGCCTTTAGCTCAAATAATCCAAATACACAAACCCCATCATAGGGTGATTCATCCCGAACACCCAAAACTCAAATACAGAATTTAAATAGTACCAATATACAGTTTATCATCTATGTTTTACTCCTTTGGAAGTTTCTTGATAGGCATTTTATGTTTCTGTAATGTATAATAGCAGCAACTTGAAAGTTAGAGAAATTTGAAGTCTAGGCTCCTAAGCTTTGTGTCATATCATGATTTACATAATTTTAATATCACAGTTTATACACCAAATTTATATGGCTGACGTTCTGAAAGTATTATTCCTTTTGTTACTAGATAGTTGTTTATATTTTCAATTAGGAAAACTCAGATATAGTTACTAAGTATGTTTTTGTCTCTGTTCACTAAAGTAGAATAATAGAGCTTTCAGTTATTAATAATAAATAAAAAATAAAGAAATTAGCCCTGCTGGTGTGGCTCAGTTGGTTGAGCATTATCCCATGGACCAAGAGATCCTTGGTTCAATTCCTGGTCAGGGTACATGCCCAGTTTCAGGCTCGACCTCCAGTGGGGGGCGTGCAGGGGAAGCAGCTGATGTTTCTCTCTCATTGATGTTTCCATTTCTCCCTCCCTCTCCCTTCCTCTCTCCCAAAATTAATACAAACATTAAAAATAAATAAAATATTTCAGTGATTCTCAAAATCATTCTTAATCCATGCACTCTTATGCTTTCTCACATTTTCTTTCCATTTATTTTATTTTATTTTTATTGTCTACACTATTACAGATGTCCTCCATTCCCCTCCCCCTTTTGCCCACCTCCACCCCTCTTCCCCAGGCATTCTCCACATTGTTGTCTGTGTCCCTGGGCTATGCATATACATTCTTGAGCTAATCTCTTCACCTTTCTTTACCCCTCTAAGATCTGTCAGTCTGTTCCTTGCTCCATGCTTCTGGTTCTGTTTTGCTTGTCAGCTTATTTAGTTCATTAGATTCCACCTTTAAGTGAGATCATATGATATTTGTCTTCTTCTGACTGGTCTATTTTGCTTAGTGTAATAATCTCCAGGTCCATCCATGCCATAACAAATGGTAAGAATACCTTCTTTTTTACAGGTGCATAATATTCGATTTTGTAAATGTACCACAGCTTTTTTATCTACTCATCTACTGATGGGTGCTTGAGCAGCTCCTAGATCTTGGCTATTGTAAATAATGCTGCAATGAACATAGGGGTGCATATATTCTCTCTAATTGGTGTTTTGGGATTCTTAGGATATGTTCCCAGATGTGGAATCACTGGGTCAAAAGGCAGTTCCATTTTTAACTTTTTTAAGGAAACTCCATACTGTTTTTCATAGTGGCTGCACCTGTCTGCATTCCCACCAGCAGTGCACCAGGGTTCTTTTTTCTCCACACCCTCACCCGCACTTGTTGTTTGTTGGTTTATTGATGGTAACCATTCTGGCATGTGTGATTTTACTAACACAATTGCTATTTGGTACAGATTAAAAAGAATTCTTAATTTTTAATCAACTATATTTATTTCTATATTTTAGTAAATTTTAAATACTTAGTTCAAATATTCTTTTTACATAATCAATACATCAACGTTGTAGTTGCTTAGTAAATTATGTTGAAGTGCTAGTGGGACTAAATTTTCCCCACCCTTCTATTTCAATTCTATTGTTTGCAAGAGCAACAGGAATGGAATCAAATACTATCTCAGTACTCAGCTTAACTGAATTGCTTTTTTTTTTTTTTCAGAGAATAAAAGACCATGCCTTAAATTCTCTGAACTAAGTATAAAGGATTCCTTCAGAGATTTGTTTAATCCCCAAACAGAGATGTTTCTGATAATGTATACAAGGAACAACCAACACTGTGCTGAGCCACTGTTGGAGCAGGATAACTCACTTAACGTGAACTTTAACACAAGTAAGAAAACAGTCTGGCTTATTCATGGATACAGACCAATGGCTCCATTCCATCATGGCTTCAGAACTTTCTAAGGATTTTGTTGGATCAAGATGATATAAATATAGTTGTAGTAGATTGGAACCGAGGTGCTACAACTTTTATTTACAACACAGCAGTTAAAAACACCAGAAAAGTTGCTGTCAGTTTGAGTGAGTGCATTCAGAGGCTGTTGGTAAGTCTGGAATGTTATGTGTTATATATGCTATACAATATACAGTGTATTATGCAAGACTACAAAGTGTTAATAAAATGTTTTTTTTCATACTTTCAATGCTTAATGCTTTTTTCTCATAAACATTCAGAATTGCTTTGATATGCTAATGTATGAAGCTATCTTTATTTTGTGTGTGTGTAAAGACATGACCTGTTTTACTTTTTAAAAATTATCTTAAAAACTATGTTATTATGTTTTATCTTTTAAGTTTTTTTGATACTAAGTATAATAGCTGACATTTATTGAGTGATTATTAATATGCCAGGCACATTGTTTTGTTTTATCTTTACAGCACTCAGCTCTGTGTGTGTGTGTATGTGTGTGTGTGTAAATTTTATTTTATTTTATTTTTATTACAGATGTTTCTCTTTTTTTTTCCCATTGACACCCTCCTCCCCATCTCCTAATCCCTTCCCCAGCTTTGTTATCCGTGTCCATTGGTTATGCGTACATGCATATAAGTTCTGTGGTTTATTTCTTCCCTCCCGCCACCACACCCTCTCCTGAGGGTTGTCAGTCTGTACCCTACTTCCACATCTCTGGGTCTACCCTATTCCTCAGATTGTTATGTTGATTATATTCTACAAATAAGTGAGATCATGTGATATTTGTCTTTTTCCACTTGGCTTGTTTCGCTTAGGATAATACTTTGCAAATCCCTCCACGTCTTCTCAAAGGATAAGAGATCTTTCTTTCTTACAGCTGCATAGTACTTCATTGTGTATATGTAGCACTGCTTTTTTTTATCCATTCATCTACTGATGGACATTTGGGCTGTTTCCAGATCTTAGCTATTGTAAACAGTGCTGCTATGAACATGGGGGTACAGATATTCTTTCTGATTGGTGTTTTAGGCTTCATAGGGTATATTACTAGAAGTGGGATCACTGGTCAAATGGAAGTTCAATTTTTAATTTTTTGAGGCAACACCATATTGTTTTCCATAGTGGCTACACCAGTCTGCATTCCCACCAGCAGTGTACTAGAGTCCCCTTTTCTCCACACCCTCGCCAACACTTGTTGTTTGATGATTTGTTGATGGCGGCCATTCTGACAGGTGTGAGGTGATACCTCATTGTTGTTTTAATTTGCATCTCTCTGATGATTAGGGATGTTGAGCATTTCCTCATATGTCTCTTGGCCATTTGTATGTCCTGTATGGAGAGGTGTCTATTCAGTTCCTCTGCCCATTTCTTAATTGGGTTCTTTGTCTTCCTTTTGTTGAGTTGTATGAGTACTCTATATTTTGAAAATTAACCCCTTATCTGATATATCATTGGCAATTATGCTCTCCCATACCGTGGGTTGCCTTTCCATTTTGATGGTTGTTTCTTTTGCTGTGCAGAAGCTTTTGAGTTTGATGTAGTCCCATGTGTTCATTTTTTTCCTTTGCTTCTGTTGCCTTAGGTGATGTATCAGTGAAAATTCTTCTGCGTATGATGTCCAAAATTTCGTTGCCTATCTTTTCTTCTAGGATTTTTATGGATTCACAGGTCACATTTAAGTCTTATCCATTTTGAATTTATTCTTCTGTATGGTGTAAGTTGATGGTCTAGTTTCATTTTTTTGGCATGTACTGTCTAATTTTCCCAAGACCATTGATTAAAGAGGTTGTCTTTACTCCATTGTATGCTCTTGCCTCTTTTGTCAAATATTAATTGAGCATAATGTCTTGGGTTCATTTCTGGGTTCTCTGTTCTGTTCCACATATCTGTTCTTGTGCCAGTACCAGGCTGTTTTGATTACAATAGCTTTAGTATAACCTGATATCTGGTATTGTGATCCCACCTTCTTTGTCCTTTTTATTTTATTTTTTTCAGGATTGCTGTAGCTATTTGGGGTCTTTTTTTGTTCCATATGAACTTTTGAAGTATTTGTTCTAGTTCTGTGAAGTATTTTTTTGGTATTTTGATGGGGATTGCATTGAATCTATAGATTGCTTTGGGTAGTTGGGTAGTATGGACATTTTAATGATGTTAATTCTTACAATCCATGAACAAGGTATGTGCTTCCGCTTTTTTATATCTTTTTCTATTTCTTTTTTTAATGTCCTGTAGTTTTCTGCCAATAGGTCCTTTACTTCTTTAGTTAAGTTTATTCCTAGGTATCTTAATTTTTTTGCTGTGATGGTAAATGGGATTGTTTTTTTCAGTTCCTCTTTCTGTGAGTTCATCATTGGTGTATAAAAATCTCACCGATTTCTTGACGTTAATTTTGTATCCTGCTACTTTGCCAAATTCATTTATTAAGTTTAGTAGATTTTTGATGGAGTCTTTGGGGTTTTCTATGTATAATATCATGCCATCTGCAAATAATGACAGTTTCACTTCCTCCTTTTTAATTTGGATCCCTTTTGTTTGTTCTTATCTTTTAAGTTTTTAACTCCATAAAGATTTTAGGATAAAAGAGTGATTCTATGTGGACATAGGGAATAAACTATATAATCATTAGATACTTTAGATATTTTTTCTAAGGTATGGCTAATATGTTTACAGTAAATCAAGTGTGAATTGGTAATAATTAGGAAAAAACAATTTGAAAAGTGGCTTACGTCTGCCAACATTGGAGGCAGGTCTCAGTTTCATTCATATTTGTTCAGCACTTAGGTCCAGGGTTAGGATGGATGAAGTAAATTCAAGACTGTTTTAGGTCATCTTTCTTTACTCAGTCACCCATGTGGAAATCCATGTCTGTTCTTGAGAGAGGTGGTGGTGATGGGCATTTGAGAGAAAGAAAGGTGATATCTGATTTGAGGGGCACTTATGGACTTGAAATCTGCCTTTGAATTGTGTTGTGTTTAACTTTCAAGTCTCTGCTTAAATCTAGCAAACATAACACATTCAAAAGTAGTTACTGTGGTGGTTAGGAATCCAACTGGAGGGTTTCAAAGACCAAATCCATCTCATCATCTACATGACTTTGGACAATTGCTTAACCTTTCTGCCTCATTTCCTTAGCTATACATTTGGAATAACAAAAGATTAGAACAATGTTTAAGTATTAAATGAAATTGATTCTTAAACAGTGCCTGCCATTTAATAATCATTGACTAAAATCAGCTATCCTAATTATTTTTACATACTCAGATTTGGACAAAACCAAACCATCCTTCTAGGTAACTGATGCTCCTGTTGTTATGGATAGTCTGTACATTGCATAATTGATTTTTCCTTACAACAGTGGTCTTTAACTAATTAACGTATGTACTTCAAAATATGGGAAATATAGTATCTTTGAAATGAGGATGATTATTCACACTGTCCAGTCTTCCAAAAATTTTGACAGAATCAGATTAGTATATATTTTGGAATTAAACAGACCTGGATCTTTTTCACTTATACTATTAAGTATATGTGGCTTTGGGCAACTTATGATCAAACGATACTTACTCAGCATTTCACATGTTCCAGGAACAGTTTTAGGTAATAGGATAAAAATAAATACCTTCTAGACTATTGTGAATATTAAATATAAGATTTATAAAGCACCTGTCAAGGTAGTTGGTACAAAGTAAGTGCCCAATAATGTTTAATTACTATTGTTATAAAATGCTTTATTAAGTAAATGTGTTATTTTGCATATACTATTCTAGATTATAGATGACAAAGGTTTTAAAATTTTTAGATAAAAATTTAATGTAATTATTAAAAATATATAGAGAAAAATCAGATATTTAATGATAAAATCTTATTTCCTATCTCCCCAAAATGGATTCAACTACACAAAAATAACAAATTTTAGAATATTGATGCAAAAGGCATAATTTGTGATTTTCTGAAGTGAAAATTGTAACAATGAATTTTCAATTGCAGGAACATGGAGCATCTCTTGATAATTTTCATTTCATAGATGTGAGCTTAGGGGCTCATATTAGTGGATTTGTTGGAAAGATATTTAAAGGTCAACTTGGAAGAATAACAGGTAAAATATTTTTGATAAAATTAATGTTAGCATACTTTTAAGAATTAAATGTTACTTTATTTAAAATTTAATGGCTATAATATTTAAGCCATAAAAAATGCACAAATACTTATTCTTTCTATATTCTATTCAAATGCTAGTCTTTGTTTTAGTTCGACTTTAAAGTCTTGTTTAGTTCTTAACTGAGCTTAAGTAACCCTTATAGAATTGAAAGGAATCAGATCAACTTCTGCAGCCCCATGTGAATTTTAAAGACACATTATTGTTACAATCTAGAGAAAAATTTGGTCCATTAAATATAAAACTCTTTTCTTTTTTCTTATCCTCACCCAAGGACATTTTTGCATTTATCTTCAGATAGAGCAGGAGGGAGAGAGAGAGAAAAAGAGAGAGAAACATTGATGTGATAGAGACACATCTCCTGGTTGCCACCCACATAGCCCCAACCAGGGCTGGGGACAAACTAACCAAGGTACGTGCCCTTAGCGGAAACCGAACCCAGGTCTCTCTGGACAGTGGGCTGATGCTCTAACCGCCGAGCCAAACTGGCCAGGGTAAATATAAAACTCTTTTCATGTATTAAATAAAAATATACAGATGCACTGTATTTAATTTTCACAAACTTTGATGTATTTCAATTCTTAAAACACTTTTTTTTTTTTTTTTTTTGAATGACAGGAGACTTAGCAGTTGGTATTCAAGCTTAAGGGATTCTGGATCCCAGTTCCCCTAATATTTTCTTAACAAAGTCACTTCATCCAGTAACCAAATAATGCTGATGGATTTTCATGCTTCCCTTTAGGAATGCTGGTGATTTCTTCTTTCTTTCTTTCTTTCTTTTTTTTAAGAATTACAGATTTTCTTTGTATTTGAAGACTTCCATTTATGGTAGGGATGAATTGGCTATAAAGCCACCGAGCATGGCTACACAGATTGAACTCTATACTTCTCTAGGGATAAGATGGAAATGGTGCTTCCTTGAGTTCTCCAGTCCACAACCACACAGCCTAGCAACCCATCAAGGGAGAATCACAGCCATCTGGTCTATTTATCTCGAAGGTGCAGCCTAATTAGTGAGTGAACCTAAATTAGAATATAGGTCTTCTTTTTCTCTGCTCAACACCTTCTAAGACCATGTTTTGGTTTTCTGGGGCCAGTGGCAGAGTGGCTTAGCTAGACATAGCAAGCATGCTTTCACTTTAGCATGGAGTTGTCACTGGAAGGTGATAACCAGCTTCTCTCCCTGCTTGTGATACTATTCAGCCAGTAGGTTTCCATTTCTCAGCACCAAAAGGTCTAGGGGGCCAAATGGTTTCCTGGACCTCACAGTCCACCTAAGTGTCAATCAGTGAGTATTTAATTTTAATTTTATTATTTAATTTTTTTATATTTCAATTATAGTTTACATTCAATATTATTTTCAGGTATGCAGCATAGTGGTTAGACAGCTATATAATTTACAAGATAACCTCCTCCAATTATTCTAGTGCCTACCTGCCACTGAAATAATGGTGACTTTAGAACTAGTGGGATAGTATCTCTCCCCAGCCAAGTTAACTTTATAACAATTATGGAGATTAATGTCCATAAAGATGTGTAATCATTTCAAGTGTAAATTAAAGGTAGTAGAGTTTTTAGTGAAGTGAAGCAAAAGGGGAGGGGAGATGTGAATAACTTGTGCAGAGCATTAAAATGTTTATAACCCTTTAGTATACTTACTCTGATCAGTTTTAATGTCATTCTCATTATACAAATGTGAAACTTGAGGTTAATTGAATGAATGTGAAAGGGTTAAAAATTTAGCAACAGCTAAGCCAGGACTTACATGAAGGTGTCTAGCAGCTGAAGCCCATTCTTTTTCAATCACTATGCTAGTTCAGTTTCAACTGGTGATAATCCTACTTTATTTTAAGGTGTGTTGACTCACATACTAGTCCAGTTTGAAAGGCTTCACATGCCATTTAATTATGAAAGCTTACAAGGCCAGAAAATGTGATGCTTCTACATCAGAATAGTTTATAGGAAGAGAGAAATTTCTGCCTCATTCATTAAGTGGGCTAAATAAACAAGAATAATAGAAGGGTCTGAGATAAGCAACATTATACTTAACTTTTTAAATTTTCTTTATAAGATGATTGTGTCTTCCATTGAGTGGATCTTCTCAAGGTGTTGACTTTTATCTCTTCCCTCCTTTTTTGGACACTTTTTAGAACAACAGTTCTCAACCTGTGGGTCACGACCCCTTTGGAAATCGAACTACCCTTTCACAGGGGTCGCCTAAGACCATCGGAAAACACATATTTCTGATGGTCTTAGGAACCAAGACACCGCTCTTCTATCCGTCACCAGGCGGGTCAGCCCACATGCAGATATGCCCACATATGACTACATGGCGTGATGACATTATCGTGCCAACCGCATCACAAACACCCCATACAAATACAGGTGTATGTGACAGGGTTGGTGCCATATGTACTTATGCAGACCAGTCACACATGTGTAGAAAGCAGCTACTCTGTTAAAAGCAGCTACTGTGTTGAAAGCAGCACTATTGAAGGTAAAATGTAAAATCATGTGCTGTAAAATCATCAACTACTGCAAAAAAAAAAAAAAATCTGTACCATGGGAATTTAATCTAGATGATGGGTCTTTTTATTTTTTTATTTATTTTATTTATTTTTATTTTTTTATCTTTATTGTTGAATGTATTACAGATGTTCCTCAATTTTCACTCATTGATCTCCTCTTCCTCTCGCACCGCCCCCCCCCCCCCACCTCCTGCCTTTTCCCACACTGCTGTCTGTGTCCATTGGTTATGTATATAAGTTCTTTGGTTTATTTCTTCCCACCCCCCAAACCCCTTCTCTTTGAAGTTTGTCAGTCGAGCAACCAATTTGTACTTCTTAATCCCTTCACCTTTTTCACCCATTCCCCCAACGCCCCCCCCCCCACATCTGGCAACCAATAAAATGTTCTCTGTATCTATGAGAATGTTTCTGTTCTGCCTGTTCATTTTGTTTGTAGATTCCATTGTCGTTAGATATGTATTCATTGCCATTTTGTTTGTTCATATATTTTATCTTTTTCTTCAAAAAGACCCTTCAACATTTCATATAATAATGGTTTGGTGGTGATGAACTCCTTTAATTTTTTCTTGTCTGGGAAACTCTATATGGCCATCTATTCTAAATGATAGCTTTTCAGGATAGAGTAATTTTGGTTGTAGATTCTTGCTTTTCATCACTCTGAATATTTCTTGCCACTCCCTTCTGGCCTGCAAAGTTTCTTTTGAGAAATTAGCTGACAGTCTTATGGGAACTCCCTTGTAGGTAATCAACTGCTTTTGACTTGCTGCTTTTAAGATTCTCTCTTTGTCTTGAACCTTTTGCATTTTGATGATGATGATGTGTCTTGGTGTGGGCCACTTGGGGTTCATCTTGCTTGGGACTCTCTGTGCTTCCTGGACTTGTATGTCTGTTTCCTTCACCAAGTTAGGAAAGTTTTCTGCCATTATTGTTTCAAACAGGTTTTCAATTTCTTGTTCTCTCTCTTCTCCTTCTGGCACCCCAAGATGCGAATGTTGGCACGCTTGAAGTTGTCCCAGAGGTTCCTTACACTATTCTCATTGTTTTGGATTCTTTTTCTTTTTGCTGTTCTTATTGGGTGTTTTTTGCTTCCTTATATTCCAAATCAATGGTTTGCTTCTTGGCTTTACCTACTCTACTATTGAATCTGTGTAAATTATTCTTTATTTCAGTTAGTGCCTCCTTCATTTCTGACTATGCATTCTTCATTTCTGACTGGTCCTTTTTTATGCTATTGAGACCCTCACTAAGTTCACTGAGGTTCTCACTAAGTTCATTGAGCATCCTTATAAGCAGTATTTTGAAATCAGCATCTGTTAAGTTGCTTATCTCTGTTTCGCTTAGTTCTTTTCTTGGGGTTGTGTCCTGTTCTTTCATTTGGGACCTGTTTCTTTGTCTCTTCCTTTTGGCTGCCTCCCTGTGTTTGTTTCTGTGTATTACTTAATGAGAGGTACAGGGCTAGCTGAGACCAGATGCTGCTTGTTTGAAAGAATTTAGGGACACCTGAAGCAGGATCCAAGTCAGGCCAATCCTATGGTTAAGCAACTGGCAACAGCATGGGTGGGCCTGAAAGTTGGGTGGGGCGAGGCCTCAGGGAATCACCAGGGTGGGGCTACCAGTGTGAGCCAGGTTGCTGGAGTCCCAGATATGGCGGCTGTCTACCACCCCAGGGCAGGGCTTACCAAAAAAAAAAGGCCTCTGACAGCACGTTTGTACCAGAGAAAGCCCCCTCTCCAGCCTTCACTCTAATGCCAAACAGCTCAGTTCTTCCCTGTATGTTTCTCGCGCCCCTCGAGCTGCCCTCCCCCCCAAGCTTAGAGGGAGTGAGTTTGATAAGTCTGTGTGCGGTCCCTGTAAGGAGCTGCCTGGGGCTCCAGCCGCCTCAGCCTCCCTGAGCCTCAGTTCCCACTGGTTTTTCCAGCCAGAAGTTATGGGGACTTCTCTTCCTGGCACTGGAACCCTGAGTGGGATACCTGGTGTGGGACAGGGACCTCTCAGTCCTCAGGAAAGACCTTCCCAGCTGAGGTGTCCTCCTGATTTTTATCCACCACATGTGGGTGTGGGACCAGCCCGCCTGCCTCCTGCTTCCTACCAGTTTCGATGAAGCTGCTTCTTTAATCCCGTAGTTGTAGGTCTTTTATTCAGCTCGGGGTCAGGTGGCTTTGAATGATGGTTGTTCTGTAGTTTAGTTGTATCTTTGATGTGGTTGTGGGAGGACGTGATACCGCATTTACCTATGCTGCCATCCTGACCAGAAGTTGATAGATCTTTTTATATTCAGCTGTGGTTGATGTGAATACTACCCTCTTGTGATAGTAACAGGTATGTACAAAAAACAACACAGAATGGTAAATCATAGGAAACTTTAATGAACTGTATTGAGTAAACTATGCCATGTATCATCTTTAGTATTATTATAGCTATTGTTATATACTATTTTCATTAGCAAAGCATCCCATAACAATGGATTATGTAGAGAAGAATGTTAAGAAAAGAAAATATAGTGAGGATTTTTTACAGTATAGTTTTACCTTAATAATTACAGCAGGAATTGAGAAACCACAATGTGTTATTTGTTGTGAAGTTCTATCAGCCAAATCTATGAAGCCGAACAAACTAAAATGACGTTTTGATAGCAAGTATCTGAGCTTTGCCAGCAAGGATACCAACTATTTTAGAAGCAAAGCTGATGAACTCAAGAAAGCCAGACTTGAAACTGGTGGCAAGTACCACAAACAAAACATAGCAGCCATTAAAGCTTTATATTTGGTAGCACTCAGCATTGCCAGAGCTATAAAACCTCACACCATTGCTAAAGATTTATTGTTGCCAGTAGCCAAAGATATTGTTCGAGTTATGATTGGAGACAAATTTGTTATGAAATTGAGTGCAATTTCCTTATCTAATGACACTGTCCACAGAAGAATGACATGTCTGCTGATATTCTTTTTTTTTTTTTAATCCTCACCCGAGGACATTTCTTCCATATTTTGTTCAGATAGAGTGGGAGGGAGAGAGACAGAGAGAAACATCGATGTGAAAGGGACACATTGAGTGGTTGCCACCCGCACGACCCAACCAGGGCTGGGGACAAACCGCAACTGAGGTACATGCCCTTAGCGGGAACCGAACCGGGGTCTCCAGACCGCAGGCCGACGCTCTAACTGCTGAGCAAAACCGGTCAGGGCTGATATTCTTGATCAGGTTATCCAGGAAATTAAATCTGCTCCACTTCCAATATTTAGTATCCAGCTTGATGAATTTACAGATATTGCAAACTGTTCACAGTTACTGGTCTACGTAAGGTATATTAATGATGGCGACTTTGAAGTTGAGTTTCTTTTTTGCAAACCTCTTGAAACAACAACTACTGCATGTGATGTATTTGACACAGTTCATTTCTGAAAGAGCATAAGATCTCTTGGAAAAAGGTCTGTGGTGTTTGCACAGATAATGCTTTAGCTATACTAGGGTGTTGATCTGGATTTCAATGTTTGGTACTGAATGAGTCACCAAAAGTCGTCGGAACTCACTGTATGATTCATTGGCAAATATTAGCAATGAAGACACTGCCACAAGAGTTATAAGAAATAACAAAAAGGCCCTGGCCGGTTTGGCTCAGCGGTTAGAGCGTCGGCCTGCGGTACAGAGAGACCCGGTTCCCGCTAAGGGCACGTACCTCGGTTGCAGTTTGTCCCCGGCCCTGGTTGGTCGTGCGGGTGGCAGCCACTCGATGTGTCCCTTCATATTGATGTTTCTCTCTCTCTCTCTCTTCCTCTCTTTCCCTCCCGCTCTATCTGAACAAAAAATGGAAAAATGTCCTCGAGTGAGGATAAAAAAATAAAAAAAAATAACAAAAAGCATCATAAGTTCTGTCAATTTTGTAAGGGCGAGCATTTTAAACAGTCGACTGTTTTCGTAACTGTGCAATGAGTTGGGTACACTGAACAATGCTCTGCTCTTTCACACTGAAGTAAAATGGTTGTCAACAGGAAACGTTTTAAAACGTGTTTTAGAGCTTCATGATGAACTCAAAACGTTTTTTTAATCAGAAAGCAATACCGCAGTTCGAAGCACTTTTCAGCAATAAAAGTGAACTGCAGAAAATAGCTTACTTGGTTGACGTCTTTGCCATCTTGAATGAGTTAAATTTACCACTGCCAGGAACAGATGCAACATGCCTCGATTTGTCTGAAAAGATCTGATTATTCCAAATGAAACTTCAGCTTTGGCAAAAAAAAATTGGATGAAAATAAAATTTATGTGTTGCCTACCTTATCTGCTTTCTTTGAGGAACATGGCATTGAACCAGACAAAAGAATTATGATGATAGTTTCTGTGAAATAACACTTACATATGCTTGCAGATGAAATTTCATCTACCTGACATCCCATTTGCACTTACCAGAAGCCCATTCACAGTCAAAGTTGAAGATGTTCCTGAGACAGCGCAAGAGGAGTATTGAACTTATTAACAGCAATGCAGCGAGAACTGATTTCTCTACAATGCCAGTTACAATATCCTAGATCAAGTGTTTGCAGTCATATCCTGTTCTGTCTGAGACTGTGTTGTGCCTTCTTCTTCCATTTCCAACAACATATCTTTATGAAACAGGGTTTTCCAGCTTGTTAGTATCAAGTCTAAATACAGAAGTAGACTTGTTGTGGAAGATGATCTTCATTGTGCTCTTGCAAAGACTGCCCTAAGAATTTCTGATCTTGTGAGAAAGAAGCAATCTCAACCTTCGCACTGACCAACCTTCGCACTGATGTTGGCTTTTTATGCATACTGTCGCAAAATGTAGCAATGTAGTTTACTGTTGTTATATTAAGAATGTCACCCATGGTGCACCATGCTTCAAGACAAAATTTTATTTATTTGTAACTAGAAATAAATATTTCACAATATATAATTACATATTATTTTTGTGATTAATTACTATGCTTTAATTCTGTTCAATTTGTAACAATGGAAATACATCCTGCATATCAGATATTTACATATCAGATATTTACAAAAATAATTTTATGGTTGGGGGTCACCACAACATGAGGAACTGTATTAAAGGGTCGCGGCATTAGGAAGGTTGAGAACCACTGCTCTAGAAGGTCATGAGCCTAGAATTTTTATTTAGAATTTCAAATACATCAGATATATATATATATACATATTCAATGGAACTTTTAACACATTTTTTTCATATGTGTGTGGTAAACTTTTGTGAGAAATGAATGATAAATAAATGTTTGTTTAAATATAAAACAGTGATAAATATGTTTTATCCCACAGCCCTAATTGCATCTGATACCTAAAAATTAGTTTAGACCTATAGATAGATCCAGGATGCATTAGTAAGGCAAAGGTTCAAGAAAGGACCAGGATGGTATTAATCCCCCCTCCAATCAGAAGTAGTAGTAGTTATTTATTATTCACATTCTACTTTTTTTTTTCCTAATTACTTCTTAAATTAAAATGCTAAAAAACTACAATATTTTGTTGAGGCATCTCTAGTGTGGCTTAATATTGTATTGTTGATAAACTCTGAAGATTGGTAAAAAGTATTATTCAAATAGTAAAGATGCTTGCTATTCACCCAGTTTTATTTATCTCTAAATTTGTTTTGACAAGGTTAAGCTAAAACTGTACAGGCTTATGTTTATGATGGAATAATAATGCAAACATATGATCTAATGAACAATACAGTAAGAATTGATTAATAGAATAATAGTTTCTTTCTTAAATTTCAGGAGTTGACCCTGCTGGGCCAAGCTTCTCCGGAAAACCATCAAATGGCAGATTACATCACACCGATGCAAAGTTTGTGGACGTCATCCACTCTGATACCAATGGTAATAACAGTGCAGGATTTATCGCTCAGTTATTTGAAAATGAAAAGAAAGGGATGTAGACACTTGGAAAGGAGAACATAAGAGGAGAAAGAGTAGGGGATAAAGTGATAATAAATATCACTTTAGTGATAGTATAGTGATTGTATTTCCCACAAGCACTATTTTTTAGAGTTAGTGAACTCCTGCGGTATCAAACGGCAATCTTTGCCTTCAGCTTTTCTTCCTTAGGTTTCAAGAACTATCATGTCATCCAAAAGAGTTGAAATTTATAAAAACAATACTTTATCCTGTTCACTCTATTTACAGTTTTATTGATTTGATCACAATTTTCCCCTTGCTTCAAGTATTTAGGTTAGCATTCTCTCCGTTCATTTTCTTGGTGTGATGTATGTCAACTAGACCTGAGCACAGCAATTCAGGCACAGATAGAGAATAACTTTCTCTAAAAGTAGGAAAATAATTTTTTTGTTGTTTTTAATTATCTTTCTGAAAATGACTTATAGATTATTTTGATAGTTTTGGCCAGAGAACATTAGACAGACCCTTTCAAGGAATAATTGAGATTACCCTGACCCCCTTTGACACTGATTATAATAATATTTATTGAATGTTTTCTATACATCAGACAATGTTTTAAGTGCTTTATGTTAAATAATTATGAAATGCTAAGCCCCTATGAGATAAGTAAACCTTATCCATGTTTTACCATTGTGGAAGCTAGGGTTAAGGTCATAAGGCCATAAGTGGCAGAGGCAGAATTTGAAATCAAACCTTTTGATTACAGTCTACACTTCACCAGTATGTTGCTCTGGTTAAGATGTGGTTGCGGGCCTGGGGAGGGTATGGTGTTCAGAGAGACAGGAGGAAGCAACACTCAGATGGCCCCTATTTCCCTGTTTCCTCAGGTTCCTTTTCCTTTGGTTCAGGTAATTTACTTTCACATTCCTCTGAATTTACCTTGTGGAGATCCATACCAGTGATTTTGTGAGGAACATAAATCCATAAATGCCATAGATGACAATTTTTCAATGTCTATGTCATATGCCAGAGCCTATGATAGAAATAATTCTTCTCTTTATTTGGAATCTAAGTTCATCTACAGTGCCCAAAGTTTCATAGTCCTAGTATGATAATCCCAGCATCTCAAGTGTCTGTTTTCTCTAGCCCTCTATATCAGCTTGACATTCCCACACACAGCACACCTGCTGCCCAGTTACTCTCAAGTTCTTGGTCTGAACTCTTCCTTCTGAAATCCCAGTTTCTCTTCTGCTTATGACCTTTCGAATTAGCTCTTTATACTTTGAATTAGTTTTGTTTGCATTTTTAGTTTTCCTAATAAATTCATTTGGATTGTTTTATACAGTCATTTCTCGGTATCCATAGGGGACTGGTTCCAGGACCCCCTGAGATACCAGAATCTGCAGCTCTTCAAGTCCCTTATGTAAAATGGTGCAGTATATATAACCTACACAAACCCTCCCACATCCTCTCAATCATCTCTACATCGCTTCTAATACCTAATATAATGTAAGTGCTATGTAAAAAATTGTGATGCTGTATTGGTTAGAGAATAATGATAAGAAAAAATGTCTGTACCAGTTCAGTACAGATGCAATCATCATAGGCCTAACTACACAGCACATGCCAGCAACAACGTAACATGTTTTTTAACATTTTTGATCTGTAGTTGGTTGAATCTGTGGATGTGAAACCCACAAATATGGTGGGCCAACTGTACTCTTGATATCTTTTGATGACAGCCTGTCAGATCTAAGTTGCCGCTAGGTACCACAGAGTTGGCATCTTTGATTGATCTTTTTTATGACAATCATAAATGAGGAACAGAGATTTTTGATACTACATATTCACCTGACAATGTAAATTGAACCCAAGACCCTTAGGGCCAACGCTCTAACCTCTGAGCCAAACTGGCCAGGGCTAAGTTAATATATATATATATATTATATAATATAATATATTATATATATATATATATATATATATAATCCTCACCCAAGGACATTTTTTTTTCCATTTTTGGTTCAGATAGAGTGGGAGAGAGAGAAAGGAAGAGAGAGAGAGAGAGAAACATTGACGTGAGAGGGACACATCGTGTGGCCACCACCCGCACAACCAACCAGGGCCGGGGACAAACCACAACCGAGGTACGCGCCCTAAGCGGGAACCAAACCCAGATCTCTCTGGACCACAGGCCGACGCTCTAACCACTGAGCCAAACCAGCCAGGGCTAAGTTAATATATTTTGATGTGGGTGTCAAGTGGCTAAGTGGCTGCTGGCTTTATAATAATAAAACCTAGCATCATGATTTATGTCTTTTTCTTTATTTATGGTTTACATTTACAATAAAAAGAATTAAGAACCCACATCTGCTCTCCCCACCCTTCTTGCAACCAAGGGAATGAATGACTTAAGCAGACCAAGCTGCCCTGCCCCCTCCACCTGACAAAAGGGAAATAACATGCCTGAATCAGCTGCTTACAAGGTAATAATATACACTTTTGCTTCTCCATGATTCCTGAGCAGTCTTCTTGGTTTGATTCTACTTCATTGGCAGATTGGAGAAAATGATGCCTCTAAACCTGGAAACCTTAGTCTTGGAACTTCATCTTGAGTTCAGATATGAGGAAATTCTAAGGATCTCAACAATTATTGGACTTTTTTTTTTTTTTTTTGCATATTCAGGAGATTGTTCATCCTTGCTTAAATTCCACAAGCTAAGTGGGTGATGGTATATAAAGAGGGATTAATTATCATACCCTTTCCATTGTCACAAATCACACATCTGCTTCACTGAATTCTATGGGTTCTACTGAAGCCATTTACAGCATGCTTTCTCTTTCCTTATGTGCTGATTTCCCTTCCCTTAATGTACACGCCCAGTGATGCCCAGTGTTCACATGCCCTGGGGACACCTCACTAGCTGTTCACTTGGTCTGTGACATACTAGAATTAAATCTAGGTGTTGCATCATTTTTTTTTAATCTTCAAGAATTTTATTGCCATTAATAACCTGTAAAAACATTTTTCAAAATTTATTTTTAGATTGCAGTATCTCCCAATAAATGTTTCACTGTAATCATCACTTTATAAATGTTTAGAATTCCCTGAGAAATGATGTAAAGCTTACAGTCTTTTGCAAGTTTGTTATGAAATGAGCCTCTCTTGGGCAGGTGTGTGGCAGCTGTGCTTGATCTAATGCTGTGTCCCCTCAGGAATGGTGTCCTTTTCATTTTCTAGTCATCTTAATCCTTAATGTTGATCTAAGTATTTATCTTTGTTATGCTAAATGTATTATTATCTCTCTCAAGAGTTCATGATGTTGTAGGATATTTTTCTGTCTAAAGCCAAAGCTTGCAATCTTATTTGGTAGCAAGATTTTATATCTAATCATAGTCCTGAATATTCTTTCATTCTTATAGCTCCCCTGTGTTATAGACCCTATATTGGTAATGGTCCCAGAATTTGCAATTTTCCTAGTACCCCAAGGATCTACAGATGTACAGAAGTCCTTAAATCACAGCTACTGTTTCATGTCACCCTGGCCCAACTTGTTCCAGCTGAAACAGCATATTTAGATGTTCTCCAGTTTGTGAATCTAGCACTTAGTCCTAGGCATTATGATCCAGAATGGGAGCAAGTCATCCCACTCGCCTGAGAGGTCCTGTGTGACTAGTCTTTATTTCTTCCATTGCTCCCTCTTACACGTTCCGCTCTTGCTAACCTGGCTTCTTGGAGCATCTCTGGCATGCCCACACAGGTACGTGCTTGGCTCACTGCCTCACACACATCCGCCATGTCTTTGCTCAACTCTCTCCTCCTCAGTGGGAGATTATCTAACTGAATTACTGAATTAATTCAAAGTGCAAACTACAACCTTCACTAGTCACTTACTGTTCCCCTATTCTATTAAATTTTCCTAGAGCACTTATCTGACATACTGTATTTTCACTTGTTTATTATGTCTTACTTCCATTGGAATGTAATTTCCATGACAATTTTTGCTGCACTTATTTTTTTCACTTATATTCATAACACAAAGAACTATGATGAGCCCGTAGTAAACTGGTAAATGTGTCAAATTAATGAACCATACTTTTCATGAGGAATTAATTTAAAGAATTAGCACCAGAAAAACTCATCTTTTTAAAAATTGCATTTATTTCATTTTCAACTAAAAAATTGAAAGTCTCTTTCAATAGATTTTATATGAGATTTTATTTTATACAAATGTTGCTGATCTGATTATATGCACTTTGTGATTCTTGGGTACTTTTTTTTCTCAGGTTTGGGCATTAAAGAACCCTTGGGACATAGAGATTATTACCCAAATGGAGGAAAAAAGCAACCTGGTTGTCCTAAATCAATATTTGCAGATATACCAGTGATATTTTCAAATAAATTACATATGATTCAAAATGAAAGAAAATCAATATACTTTTCCCCCTCTTAATCTCTGGGGAAGATTTTGATAACAATTGCCTGTGTATCAGGAGTTACAGGTGAAAAATGGTTTGATTTTATCCTTCTTAGTTGATAAGGATTAGCAGTAGACATTCCATATGGCCATGGATGAGATCTAGTACATTGCAGTTTCAGCAGTTTTAGTTCATAATTTTAACATTAGGAAGTTTTAAGTCACCGAAGGAGCACATGTGGCCAAATATCATATAACACAAGTCTGGTCTCATGATTTAATCTTTACTGTCAGCATAGTATTACAGAAACACAGATTTATAAACTCTTTTTTTTTTATTGAGTTGAGAGAGAGAGGAAGGAAGAGGATCAGAGAGATAGAAACATCGATGAGAGAGAACATTGATGGGTGGCCTCCTGCATGCCCCCACTAGGGATTTGGCCTGAAACCTGGGCACTTGCTCTGATTGGGAATCAAACCAGCGACCACTTGGTGCATGGGTCAATGCTCAACCACTGAGCCACACCAGCTGGGCCAGATTTATAAATTCTTGCACTTGGTTGTTCTGTACATAAATAGCCAAGCAAGTGCTCCAGGTGTGGAATTTGGCTAACTTCAGAGCCTTAGAGAGAAATGTTCTGAGTTGTACAGTGGCAATTGGTCAAGAAACACATTGCTAAATGCCGCTGCAGCTACAGAAGTCTGGTCAAAGAGATAAGGATGTGAGAAGTTGGAAAAGGAAAGGGACGTGATAAAATTGTCTTTTAAAATCTTCACCTGAGGATATGTTTTTCTAGAGAGAGGATGAGAATAAGAGAGAGAGAAACATCAACGTGAGAGAAACATTGATTGGTTGCCTCCCATACACACCCTGACCTGGGATTGAGCCTGCAGCCTTTTGGTATACAGAATGATGCTCCAACCAACTCAGTCACCTGGCTAGGGCATGGGACATGATGACGTTTTAATATCACCTGATTTCATAGTCATCTCTGGGATTGAGGAGAAATGTTAAGATGTGAAGTTAGAAAAGAGAGATGTTTGTACTAGTTATTAAGTATGGTAGCACCATGTTTACAAAGTTTGCTAAATTATTTAAATTGAACATTTTTTTGCTGTGTTAATTATGACGTTAGAAAAATTTCTTATAAATATCATGTAAAAGGCATACTAAATTTAAATTTTTATTGGTATGATTTATTTAGTTGCTCTAGATAACACTGCATTGTAGTCAACACTTGAATATTCCTAACATACAGTATTGAGTAGAACTTAATCTTTATTTTTTTCTAACTTGCTTGAACTTAGTTTAATGCATCTACAATTTTTTTTTGCTTGATTTTTAACATGTAAGGAATTCAGTTTATTAAATTCAGCCACCAGAGACCAGTTTTCCTGTTCATGGCAGCTATGGAAACCAACTGCAATTTTATTTTATTTCCTTGTCATTCATACAAAGATTACAAAACCGGTTCATGTGTGGAGTGTGACAACTTTAAGAAAAAGTCTTGTCCCAGGCTAGGTAAGAGAAATTGTTATAATTACTATAATTTTTTGTGGGAAATGAGTAAAGTAATTGTGTTAGTATCTTCTGCTGAAAGCTTTCCTATTTATTTGTATGTCAGCATTTTATGGAAAAATTATCTGTGGAACCACCAGAAAAAAAAATTGTTCACATTTTACTAAATATTTTAAGATGTTTAATGAGGAGACCTTGATCAACTGTCTTCCTATGCTCGATATAGTGGGATAATTTGGTGGTTTCATGATGATCCTTGTTCTTGATATACTGAAGAATCTCGTCATCTATTTGTCATCCATCTGTATTTCCACCAGAGAAAGGGACCTGTGCATTCTTAGTGGCACAGCGGTAGTTTTTCTTTAGTGTTAGGAGCAAGTGAAGAGGTGTGAATCATAATTATAATTAGCTTTTCATTTGCTATTAGCAGGTAGACATGACTTATCTGTGGTTCACACCTTCTAAATCCATAAAGCTTGGTTAAGGATTTTTTCTGAGCACTGAAGCCTGCCAGTGGGAATTTAGTGAAAGAAGATTCCACAAAGAAAAGAATGCGATAGCTGGAAAGAATCTCAAACGCCGTTTGTTCAGGGTTTTCTAAAGAGAATAGCAGAGCCCAAGCATGTCTTGAGCATGTCAACATCTGATCAGTATCGTGTCAAGGGCTGCAAATGTTTCCCAAGACAAGGGGCTCATGGAGTGGGCAGCAGTGGCAAAGGCTGATTAAACAGCCACGGGCAGTTCTCCTCCGCAGGAGGTTTACACTAAGGCACAGAATTGCTAAGCAGAGGCAGGAAATAAGCAGGCTTTGCCAGACTTATTTTCTCATAGACGGGGTCAGTCCAAACTGATTTTGTAGAGTCAGTTTTCTTCAGACCTTATGTGTTGCTTTTCTGGTCCCATTGCTTCTCCTGTAAGTAAGAGAATTGGACCTCCTGTGAACATATGGATTGCTTCTGGGCACAAGAGAAAAGTAGCGTTAAACCTCCGAATTCCCAGTTAAGTATCCTTTCTACTATACTCAGATCTCAAATTTGGAGGTAGTAATGTAGAAACACACAAATACATGAAGTGGGAAGCATCTTATGTTTGCATACGTACATATTCTTTATGTACATATAATGTATGTATCTAAAATGTATATCAAATGTAATATACAGTATAGATGGATGCTAGCTATACTATGTATTGTATATAATGTATACATGTACACACTATATTTATATGAATGTATACATAGAAGGATTGGGGGTTGTACTCATAGAGCTAAATTTAGTGTTCAAGTTTTATTTAATCACTTTATTCTGCTGAATATATTAAAAAGAGTTACAAGTAAAATTCTGAACTTGTAATACAATAATAAAATTGTCTACAGATGGACTCTAGACATATGGAATATTCTAAGTTCTGATAATATTTCTAGGCAGTGGATTTATTTGTAAATCTTCAATTTAAGACATTATTGTAATTAAATAAAATGTGAAATTATTTGAAAAATTTTAAGTCATAAAAATCCATTTTAAGTTATACTACTACTGCCCTGGCCTGTTTGGCTCAGCAGTTGAGCGTCGGCCTGCGGACCAGGGAGTCCCGGGTTCGGTTCCTGCTAGGGGCGCATACCACACACACACACACAAAAGTTATACTACTACTACTGCTCATTATTATTATACATTGATGTTTTAGTTCCTTTATGAGTTTGAAATTTTTGGATGCTATTTGATGGAAGTCTAATTCTAACATTCCAATTTGTTCAGGTAGAGTGGGAGGGAGAGAGAGGAACAGAGAGAGAGAGAGAGAAACATCGACCTGAAAGGGACACATCGAGTGGCTGCCACTCGCATGACCGACCAGGGCCGGGGAAAAACTGCAACCGAGGTACCTGCCCTTAGCGGGAACTGAACCCGGGTCTCTCAGGACCGCAGGCCGACGCTCTAACCGCTGAGCCAAACAGGCCAGGGCATAGTAAGTTAACATTTTAAACAAACAAATGATTGGTTTTATGTATGAATTTATATTTTATTCAAAATGTTATTTCTTCCCAGTCAAATTTCATCATATACTTTCAAGGAGCTTTAAATTTTGTTAGATTCAGTTGTACACATTTAAATAAGGACTTGGTTTTTTAGCTAAAATGAACATATGCTTTGGGTAATATTTTCCCAAAGAAACAATCAAGGTCCTTGTTTTTTCCCTAAAATTTGCATGACTATTCTTCCCATTTTTAGAGTTATGTCAGCATATAACAGGTTCCAGAGCTTAAGACATCTATCTTCACTTTTCCACACTTTTGAGAACCTAAACTAAACTATCTAAATTTTAAAAAGTGCAAATAAATAATAATTTTCCCAACAAGAGGAAAAAATGTGAAGAACAAGAGAGAATCTTTTAGAACTTAATTAAATAATAAGATTTATGAGGTGGTAAATGAGAAAGCAAAATTTTTCTGTTTAGAGATGAAAGGGTCAAAGTGATTTATAATTAAAGGTAAATGTTATTGTATGAAGAATCTTGTGAGAAAAGTTTCCAGTTACAATCATTGACCTTGGTTATTGGGGGGCAAAAATTTTAAATAGATTCTCATATTTAAAACTATGTTTAGGTCAGTTGTTGTCAATGTTTTGCAGTCATCGTTTCTATTAATTATAAGATATTGTAGTTCTTTAAACATTAGTGATCTTTCCTATTACCCAGAATTGGGCCTGTGCATTCTTTTTTTTTTCCAAATCTTTATTGTTGAATGTAGAATGTATTACAGTTGTTCCACATTTTTCCCCCATTGACCCCCTCCTCCCCACTCCTGTCCCCCTCCCACCTTTTCCCACACTATTGTCTATGTTCATTGGTTATGCATATAAGTTCTTTGGTTTATTTCTTCCCACCCCCCCAACCCCTTTCCCTTTGAGGTTTGTCAGTCTAGCAATGAATTTGTGCTTCTTAATCCCTTCACCTTTTTCACCCATTCCCCCAACCCCCCTCCCAACTGGCAACCAACAAAATGTTCCCTGTATCTATGAGAATGTTTCTGTTCTACCTGTTCATTTTGTTTGTAGATTCCATTGTTGATAGATATGTATTCATTGCCATTTTGTTTGTTCATATATTTTATCTTTTTCTTCAAAAAGACCCTTCATCATTTCATATAATAACGGTTTGGTGGTGATGAACTCCTTTAACTTTTTCTTGTCTGGGAAAGTTTTTATATGCCCATCGATTCTAAATGACAGCTTTGCAGGATAGAGTAATCTTGGTTGTAGGTTCTTGCTTTTCATCACTCTGAATATTTCTTGCCACTCCCTTCTGGCCTGCAAAGTTTCTTTTGAGAAATCAGCTGACAGCCTAATGGGAACTCCCTTGTAGGTAACTAGCTGCCTTTCTCTTGCTGCTTTTAAGATTTTCTCTGTGTCTTGAACCTTTTGCATTTTGATGATGATGTGTCTTGGTGTGGGCCTCTTGGGGTTCATCTTGTTTGGGACTCTCTGTGCTTCCTGGACTTGTATGTCTGTTTCCTTCACCAAGTTAGGAAAGTTTTCTGCCATTATTGTTTCAAACAGGTTTTCGATTTCTTGTTCTCTCTCTTCTCCTTCTGTCACCCCCAAGATGCGAATGTTGGCACCTGCTGACTCCCTGAGGCCCCGCCCCACCCCACCCAACTTTCAAGCCCACCCAAACTGTTGCCACTTGCTTAACCATAGGATTGGCCAGTCTTGGATCCTGCTTCAGGTTTTTCCTAAATTCTTTCAAACGAGCAGCTTCTGGTCTCAGCTAGCCCCATACCTCTCATTAAGTAATACACTGAAACAAACACAGGGAGTCAGCCTAAATGAGGAGACAAAGAAACAGGTCCCAAATGAAAGAACAGAACACAACCCCAATAAAAGAACTAAGCGAAATGGAGATAAGCAACCTAACAGATACTGAGTTCAAAATACTGCTTATAAGGATGCTCAATGAACTTAGTGAGAACCTCAGTGAACTTAGGGAGGGCCTCAAGAGCTTAAAAAAGGACCAGTTAAAAATCATGGATACACAGTCAGAATTGAAGGAGGCATTAACTGAAATAAAGAATAATTTACACAGCTTCAATAATAGAGTATGTAAATCCAAGGAGCAAACCATCAATTTGGAATATAAGGAAGCAAAAAATGCCCAATCAGAACAGCAAAAAGAAAAAATAATCCAAAAAAACGAGGATAGTGTAAGGAGCCTCTGAGGCCTGTGAATTCTTAAATTAAATTTTCATCAAGTTAATTTTAGATTTACATGTAGATTAAAAAATAGTATAGAGAGATCCTATGTACACTTTATCCAGTTTTCCTCAATGATAAAATTTCACAACAGTATAAAATATATCACTACCAAGATATTGACATTGATACAATCTATACATCTTCTTCATATTTCCCAGCAGACGTGTGCTTGTGTATGTGTGTTCAGTTCTGCACAATTTAATCACACATATAGGGCTATGTATCTGTCACTGCAGTGACAGATTTTAAACAGTTTTATCACAAGTATCCCTGGGGTGGCACTTTTATAATGACATACACCACCCTCCTTTCATCCTGCTGTTTTTATTCTCTGTTATCCATTAATACATTCCTAAAATTTTATTTTGAAAATGTTACAGAAAGGTAATAATTTATTTAATTGGCCTTATTTCTTTTTAACTCAGCATAATTCTCTGGAGGTTTATTCTTGTACCATGTATCAATAATTCATTCATTTTTATTGCTGACTAGTATCCCATGGTATGTATGTACTGTAGTTTGCTTAATAATTTATCCATTGCAGAACATTAGAAAGTTTTTAGATTTGGACTATCATTAATATAGTTGCTGTGGATATTTCTATATAAGTTTTTGTGTGAATTTAAGTTTTTTGTTTTTTTTCTATCCTCACCCGAGGACATCCTCCCATTTTTTGTTCAGATACAGTGGGAGGGAGAGAGAGAAACATCAACGTGAAAGGGACACATTGAGTGGTTGCCACCAGCATGACCCAACCAGGGCCGGGGACAAACTGCAACCAAGGTACGTGCCCTTAGTGGGAACCAAACCCGGGTCATTCTGGACCGCAGGCCAATGCTCTAACTGCTGAGCCAAACTGGCTGGTGCTTAATTTAAGTTTTTATTTATCTATTTTAAAGACATAGGAGTGCAATTGCTGGGTCAGAACTTAATTGGAGATTTAACCTCATAAGAAATTGACCAAGTGTTTTCAGATTGGCAGAACCATTTTACATTCCTCTTAGCAAAGTGATCCAATTCTTCTGATTTCTTACTAGTGTTTTTGGTTTTGTTATTGTTTTAAAAATATCATTCTGATAACATGGTGATACCTTATTGTGGTTTTAATTTTTGTTGCCTTGACGACTTATGATACTGTATATCTTTTCTATATATTCTCTTTGATACAATGTGTGTTTGTGTCTTTTGCTCATTTTCCAATTGGATTTTTTTAAACTGTTGAGTTTTGAGGGTTCTTTTTGATAGCAGCCATGGTTGGATATTTGGTTTGCAAATATTTTTTATTTTCTCCTTGTCTGTAACTTGATTGTTTTTTTCATTTTGTTCACAAGGACTTTTGCAAGATCAAAAGTATTTATTCTTGATGATATCTAATTTATCATTTTTTCAATTAATGGAACATGCTTTTGATGTCTAAGAACTCTTTGCTGAGCCCTAGGTCCTGAAGATTTTCTTCTGCATTTTTTTCTAAAAGTTTTATTTGTTACATTTAAATATGCAATCCATTTTAGTTTAGATTTTATATAATACATGAGGTTTAGGTTGAAGTTCACTTTTTTCGGGCCTATCAGTGCTCGTTTCTTCCAGTATTATTTGTTCAAAGGGCTATCCTTACTTTATTGAAGTGCTTTTGCACCTTTATAAAAAAATAAGTTAAGCATATTTGTTTAGGTCTATTTATATTGGGTCTATATTATGCTCTTTGTTCTGTTGCATTGGTTTATATGTTTATCCTTTTCCCAAGAGCACACTGTATTAATTACTAGGGCTATGTAGTAAGCCTTATTATCAAGTAGAATGATTATTTCTTCTTTAATTGTCTTTGTCATGATTATTTTAGATATTCCAAGGTATGTGCCTTTCAATATATGTTTAAAAGATATTGTCTATGTCTACAGAAACTTAACTTGGATTTTGGTAGGAATTACATTAAGCCTAAAGATCAATTTGGAGAAAACTGACATCTTTACCATTAGTCTTCTGATTTATAAATATGTGATGTCTCTCCATTTGCCTTGAATCTTTGATTTCTTTCATCAACATTTTGTAATTTTCAGAGTACATATTCTGTGCATTTTTTTTTCCCTAGCGGGAACAAAACCCAGGACTCTGTGGTCCGCAGGCCGATGCTCCAACCGCTGAGCCAAACCAGCCAGGGCTATTCTGTGCATCTTTTGTTACAAGTATACCTAAGTCATTTTTTGAGTGATAGTAAATGATATTTAACAATTTTGATACCTTCATGTTTATCATTAGGATAAAGAAATGGGACTGGAATGTTCTATATATGTCAATAAGGTATTGTTGGTTGGTCTCCAACATTATCAACTCAAAGTAAAAAAAATCTCATCTAATCTCATCAGATAAAATATTCCAAATCATGTAATTTAATTCTAAATGTCAGATTTGGGTGAGGCTCTAGAAAGAATCCATCCTTGGGCACAATTTATCTCCACTTGCAAGTGTATGAAACTGAAGAATTATGTTACCTGATCCCAAACTAGAGTGGTGAGGCAGGCAAAGGATACCAATTATAGACATTCCTGTTCAAAAGAGAGAAAATTAAAGGAAAATGGAGTCAATGGTCCTAAGCAATTTTACTGTTCAGTGAGACAAATTTCATTTCATTTCATGGCCTGGGAATAATCCCCTGTAGTTAATTTACCCCGAGTTCTGTCTTTCGGGTTCTTAAGTCCATATTCTAGGCTCTCAGAGTCATCCTTCCTCTTTATTTTTTATATGAATGGTAGCATATGCTTCCATCTGAATAGTTTTATCAGCCTATTTCTTGCCTGTAGAATTGCGGGGGTCCTACACCTTCTTTCATTTTGTACTGTCTATGCCCCTTCCGGTTCACACTGGTGGTATTTATGCTGCTACAACATTCTCAAAAACCTTGAATTTATTTTCTATCCCCACCATAACAAATTACCACACACTTAGTGGCTTAAAGCACACTAATTTATTATTGTATGGTTATGTAGGTCTGAAGTCTGAAACAAGTGTTACTGTGTAAAATCAAGATGTCAGCAGGACTTCATTCCTTTCTGGAGGCTCAAGGGGAGAAGCTATTTCCTTGACTCTTTGAGCTTCTAGAGGCTTTATTCTTTGGCTTGTGACCTCATCTTCCACAATAGTGGACTGAATCCTCACATTGTTTCACTTTGTCCCTTCTGCATCACATCTGTATTTCAGATTCTCTTACTCTGTCTTCCTCTTCTGCTGCTGAGGTCTTGTGACTGCAATTCTTGCGATTACATTGGACCACATAGATAATTTAGGGTAATCTTTCTATTTTTAGGTAAGTTAATTGACAACATAAATTCTATCTGATATCTTCATTATCCTTTGACACTTACGGTACCACATTAACAGGTTCCAGAGATGAGGATATGACGTGTTTGGGGAGGTGTACCACAACTGCAATATGCGTATGTGATTTTTCATAGTCTACTGGTGTCAACATTTTACCACTTCAGTGAAATGTGGGCACCTCACTTCCTTTTAGGTTCCTTTATTGCTACTTTTAAATTTCATTGTCTTGAGTATTTGAGTGTATGATAATTTTAGTTTTAATCATCAAATAAGATTTATAAAATTCATGAAGAAAGGGATAATCTATTGTATGTGCCCATGTATCTTCTCTTTCCTCTTCTGTCTCCTCTTTGTTTCTTATGGTCCAAGATGATTTACTTTAACAATACCTGTTTGAAGAAATTCCTTCTTATAATAATTAAGAATGGGTCTGGTAATGAGAAATTCTTTTAGTTTTTCTTTGAGAATGTCTTTATTTTTTCTTTATTCTCAAAGGATAGTTTTGCTGGCTATAGATTCGGAAGCAGTTCTTTCTTTGAGCACTTGAAAAATGTTGTGCCACTTTTGGCTTCTGTGGTTTCAGGCAAGGAATCTGTGGTGACTCAAACTGGTGTTCTACGATAGGTAATTCATCATTTCTCTTTGGCTGTTTTCACTATTTTATTCGTTTTTAGTTTTCTGAACTTTAATTATGATATGTCTTGCTGAGAATTTCTTCAAGTTTATTGTTTTACTTATCTTCTTGAATTTTTTTTTCTTTGCCAAATTTACAAAGTTTTCAGCTGTTATTTCTTTGAATATTCTTTCAGTTCCACCCTCTTTTCCCTCCTCTGGACACTCTGCTAACAGACATCGTTATAGTTCCAAAGGTCTCTGAGGCTCTTTCATTTTTTTCTTAGCCTGTTTGTTGTACAGAGTGAGTGGCAGATTTATCTGTTCACAAGTTCACTGATTTCTATCCTTAATCATCCTCAATCAACTCCACGTTGCTTTTGAGCATATCCAGTGACATGACTTCGTATCTGTTACATTTTTTACTTATGTAATTTCTACTTTGTTTTCTTTTATAGCTTCTATTTCTTTGCTGAGATTTTTCTATTCCATTTCTTTTTTTAAGACTCTGACTTTGAAGTATTTTTATGAAGGCTTCTTGAAAATCCTTGTCAGATAATCCCAGCATCTGAGTCATCTCAGTGTTAGCAATAGTTGATTGTCTTTTCTCAACAAAATTGTGATTTTCTTTGTTCTTAGTATAATGGGTAATTTTGAATCACATCCTGGACATTTTGTCTATTCTGTTAGAATTGAAGTTGTATTTAAATCTTTTCTTTTAGCAGGCAGTCACATTGTTGAGGTTTTTACTTATGTATTCTGAGGCTGCAATTATTTAGATGTACAAAGGTTCGGGGTTATTGTGGTGACTTGCTTTTAAAAAAATTTACATATGCATGTGTATCTTTCCTCAAAGATTATTTACTGGATTCTGTCACAAGAATTTGCCTCCTAGAACTTTTGACTTGTGTGTCTTTCCCATCTTCTGTGTTATGTTCTGTAGTATTTTATTTCAATTATTGTCTGAAAATCAATATTTATTATGAATATTATTACATAAAAAGTTCACTTATATTTACCAGTTTTAATTTTTTACATTTTGTCTTGCTCTGTTTCCCCCACTTTTTTTTTCTGGGTCTAACTTCTATTTTGCTGAAATATATCCTTAGTGGCTTTTCACTAGTACTCCCTCTCAATTTGTTTGTTTCCTTGAAATGACCTTATCTTTCTCTTACTCTGGAATATAAAGTTAGTTCAGGATAGAATTCTACACTGAGAGTTATTTTTGTTCAGCACTTTGAAGATACTAATTCTCTTATTTTCAGATAAATGTATTTTATTTATTTATTGTCAATTTAATTTCTGTAGTTTTCTTCTGGTTAAGTTGATCTATCTATCATCTATCTATCTGTCTATCTATCATCTATCTATCTATTCATCTATCCATTCATCCATCCATCCATCCATCCATCCAGGCATAATTTATTATCAGTTTCTCATCTCAGTGGTCAGCCTAAGTCTCTGTTAAAAATTAAAGAAAATATATTTGTGCTATTAAATGAAAATCTGTGTCTTCTTTTAATATAGAAAAATTTTAAGAGTCAGCTCTTCTTCAAAATTTTCCCATCAGAGTAAGTTGTATGCCCCCCCCCACCCGAATTAATGTACCATAATCCTGGAGTATTTTTAGTATAAATTGGGGGAGGGAGGCCTTCACCAAGTGATGAATATAAATTTAAATCCAATGTTATGTGGAGTTTTATTTAATCTTAGAGAATTGTTTTTCTACCTAAGACCCACACACAACCAATAGGAGAAATTTTCCAAGTTCCTCTTTCAATGACAAGCAAAAAATTAAGGACCCTGATACTGTGCAGGGCTTTTTATTTTAGCTCTATTACTTAACATTACGTCTTCTTTCTCACATCTTCTTTTCCACATGAAAGTTGATACCTAACACTCTGTTTCCCTGCTACATGCAGTTCTTAAGTTCTCCAGAAATCCAGGGCTTCAGCCTTTCTCATAACCTTAGAGTCGACTTTAATTTCTCTTCATTTACGCTTCCTGGTGCTTCCCTTCTTCATCTGAGCTTGGTTGTATATTTAACTTACGAATTGTACATCCAGAATGTCTACATGCTTTAGCAGGAGGAGGGTTTATTCTCACAGTAACATCTCACTGTGTCATGCTGCCAAATATCTGAGCAGCCACCTTTTTTGGGTGAGGTAGAACAAAGTATTTTGTCTAAAGCTGGGCAGTCACTTCAAGGTAAGAAGTGTTCCTGTATATCTCTTGTGTTAGAAATAGATGAGGTCCCATAATAAATCTATTACCTTATTTGAGGTAGTACTAAGCAACAGGCAAAAGACAAGAAGTTACTCTTGCCTATTTAGTAGCAACATTTGGCATCTAACATGCACAATTTAGTACATGTATTTCTCAAAAAAAAATTTCATGCATTCCATTTTCGGTTTATATATATTATCTTTAGGACATGGTGTTCAGTACTAGGGAAAACTCACAGAGTGTCAGAACTTTCTGTTTATCCAAGTCAATATAGACTATAGGGGTAAATTCAGCATCCTTGCCTCTGAAAGATATACTATATCAATGTTAATAGGAGCATTTTGAATAAGAGCTTCTATGAGCTTACTCTATCTAGGATTATTTAATTTCATAGTCATTCTTAAACAACCAGTAAAATTGGAAATTATATTTGTCAAGCAATTTAGCTAGCACTATTACTCAGATATTTAAGGAACCTTATATTTACTTTAGGTGTGCTATTTTTAAAAATAGTTTAATTAACCTAAACTCTAAAATTTTTTACTTGCCAAACAGTTAGTATTCACTAATTATTTGTTCACCTTTTCACCATACCCATGACTGCCTGGCAGGCTTTGCCATTCCTCATTTATAATACTAGTTAAAAATTGACAAGAAGTAAAATATATTACTCATGTATCAAATAAGAGCCTTTTGACATTTTTGCATATATAATATGTGCTTAGTTTACATACATATGTACATACATGCATATATGCATATGTACCAAAACAATTTATTTTAAAAATGTGAACTGTGTTCTATGTTTTTTTCTTTGTAGCCTATTATTTTGTTCTCAGTATAACTGTTTTGCATAACACTAGGAAGGATGGCTATATTACATTTAAATTATTAAACCAGCTTGGAAAAGTTGAACAACCAAGGCTCTATGAGTAAGTATATTTAGCATTATTTTTATTCATAAATTAAATGTTTGTTTTCTTGAGTATCCACTTTGGAAGGTAATCCAAATAGTGTGAATTTTCTATCCAGGGTACTTTCAAAGGCATGGAGATAGGAAGGCACCTGATTTCAGTAATAGCACACAGACTGCAGCCCTAGAACAATCATTTCAAACCTGTTCAGAGGGCAAAGAAATTGCGAGTCTTGATTTCCTTTACAAGCATCATGCTCTGTGCAGAACACCATAAAAACACTGATGCATTTTATTCAAATACTTGAATTAGTACATTTTGGAAATAAAGGAATATAAAATAGGGAATGCTTTCTCATAGTAAAACTGTCCATCTAAGCCTGGCAATGAATTAGTTATATTTCTATTAATAATTCTTAGCTAATACATTTTGTCATGCTTTGGAATTTGAACTGTTTTAGATGCCAGGGAAGTAAGAGATTTCTATATGATCTTTTATTTCTCTTCTAAAAATTTAAGTAGGAATATTTGCTTGCTGTAAAAAGCATGTCCTATTATACAGTAGAAAATGAGACTCATCTATAATTATATGACCTGGGGATATTCAGATTTACCACTTGGTTTAATACCATTCCTACTCCCCTTTCTTCTTTACCTCCTCCATTCATTCCTATCTTCTTTTTGTACATGCCCCTGTGCACACACATATTACTTTTTTATTTAGCAAAATTACAATCTCATTGTAAATGTGTTCTGCATCCTGATTTTTATATAAATGCTATTGTGTGATCACTTTTCTGCATGTGGTTAAAGTCACATACATTAAAATATGGTACTACATATATTAATATGCCAACATGGAATTTTAAACAGGGGATACCAGTAATGGGTATTCAGGGTAGAACGATTCCCCAGATGGATGAATAATGGGGAAATTAGAGTGAAACAAGACCAGAGAGGTGACTATTGTAATAATTGATATAAAAGATGTTGGGAGCATAAACCTAGGAAGTGGAATTGGGTTTCTAGGATTTAGAATATATCTGTTTTTATAATTAAACATGTGAAAGTGAAGGAAACAAACCAATACAGTGACTTTAAGTTTTAATCTTTATGACTATTTAAATTATGGTCCCAGTCACTGAGCTAGGAGATATGTGGAAAGGGGCCAATTTAATAATTCAATAAAAATTATTGAGAGCTTCTATAAGCCAGGAACTGCACTAAAAATCAGGGATAAATTTTGGACAAATTAGATTTTTGTCTTTACATAACTGGTCTAGTGCAGCAGACAGACTTACAAATATACAATACAAATAAAATGATATTCGTCATTTCTCTATTCAAACAAATTGTAATGACTGACCATGTGGAACTAGGCACTGTGCTAAGTGCTGAGAATTCTGTGATAAGAAAAACAAACATGGTCCCATCCTCATTAATCTCACAGCCTAATGAAGGATATACATGTAATTAAATAATGATAAAGATATGTAAATAAAATGTCCATGAAAAATTGTCTTGAGGACATTATAGTATGTAAGGAAACATAACATTGGGGAGAAGAATTAGTTAGTGGGGATACACTAACTAAAAGGATGTTTTATATTTATTGACTGAGACCCAAATGATTAGCTGGAGTTAGTCTGCTTTGCTGTATTCCAGGCAGAGGCTGATACAGTGATCCTGAGGCAGGAGGGAACATAGATCATCTCAGGGGCTGGAGGAAGTATATTATGTCAGAAAATAAAGAGAGGTAGAGAGCGCCTAGGTTTTGTAGGAACTGGAACTTGCAGGACATGTTTCACTGGGAAAATGGAAACCACTGATGTGTTTTAACTGAGGCAATCTGGTTGAGGCAGGATTGAATTTTTATTTTGGAAAAACATTTTGACCACAGTGGGTTGGAAGCAGAGAAGACTGGGTACTGTTGCAAGGATGTGGGTAAGAAACAGTCCTGAGATAGAGTGCTTGCAGTGGAGGTGGAGAAATGAGGATGCATTCAAAGCAGATTCAAGATATACACAGGTAAAGTCTGCAGGAATTTATGGTAGATTGGACATGGGATGGAAAGACAGGGTCATGTCAAGGGTGAATCCTAGTTGTCTGATTTGGGTAATAGGTGGTGGTCCAACTGAAATTGGCAAGGACATTTGTAGACTTTAGGATGTTTTTGATAAGAAGTAGGTGTTAGGGAAGGTGTCATTTAGGTTTAACCCACTGAGCTTTAGGTATCTTGAGATATTCAGTAGACATGGTGAACAGCTATGGATCTAGGGGTCTGGCTCCATCCGGACCCAGCTGGAGGCAGAGACCTGGTGGCCACAGGCAAAGGGATTTGAAACTACTGGAGTGGATGTGAAACCGTCGTGGAGGAAGACGACACGTTCGTATCTGGATATCTTAACTTTGGAGTATCTCCGGGAAATCTAGATATGCTCCTAGACAAAATTTAGAGACATGACCAGTGACCTATTCTGTGAAAGAGTAGGTAATAGTAACTCAGCCAGCAGGGCACAGAGGTGAACTTTGCGGGAGCGATAATGGCCACCTAGGGGCCTGCCTGCTGTGGAGATTCCAATGGAGAGCAGACAGGGCTAAATATGGATGGCAATAGTGCGGGGTGCCTTCTGGTTGCACTTCTGCTGTTCTGTGTCTGACTGTCACTTTTGCATGAGAAAGATGTTGCCTCAAAGGAGGAACTTACTCCAACAGATTTTTAAAAAACTATCTTGCTCTTCTTTCTTCTCTCTTCTTGCCTCTCCTTTCCTTTCCCTTTTTCTTCCCTCTCCTCTCCTCCTTTTCCCTCCCTCTCTCCCTTGTTTTCTTCTTCCTCCTTCTCATTTTCCCTGGTGTTCCCTTTGGAGTTAGCAGACCCTTTGACAGGACGCGGGGGCCCCAGGATCCTGGCGCATAGCGATGAAGCCAGTGGAGTGGTCAGGACGGTGTACTTTGCTTCCCTGCTCTGCGTCGCTGGCTTAGGACAGGCACGTCCATGCTCTGCCACTCAGTTTTCTCGTCTGTAAAATGGTAATACTGTTACCTAATAAAAAGAGTTGTGGAGATCATTAAATGGGATCAAGTATGTAAAGCTTTGTTACAGTTCTGGGTACCTAGAAAATGCTCAGGAAATTGTACTTATTAAATACTAAATTTATTTTTCTTTTGAATCTCAGGCTTTTGTAGTTATTTCTTTAATTCACAAATCTTTGAGAAAGTGGCACAGAACAGCAAAGGATTATTATTTGAGTACCCAGTCTATTCAAGGAACTGTGATAGTTGCTCAGAGGTCTAAAAAAAAAAAAAAAAAGCATAGGATAACTTCTCTAATTTTAGACAAATGAATAATCTAAACACCCAGGCAAAAAAATAAAATGTTCCCCTCCCCCAAAAAAACTATTTCCAAAATATTGTGTGTGGGGGATGCAAATATTATTATTGTTTGTTTTAAATTATTGTTTAAATTATTTCAATAAATACTGAAACAAAAATTTATTGTTTGGCCTTTTCCTGTAAGATTGGTCTCTCTCCATCCTGCTTTGTTAATGTTATATTGATTTTAGACTTAAATTATATTTCAAATTACTAATATGAAGGGCATGTCAAATTTTCTGTTTAGGAAGAATAAATTATTTTATAAACTTCAAGAAGTCAAGATTCTTGCTCAATTTTTAAGTGACGCTGTTAATATTTTGAGCATTGTGTTGGCGTATTATCAGAGCTCGAATCAGCACTGCTCCGCGCAGGCACAGCGTCCAGCGTCTCATGTTAAGATCACTCACTTATCCAGAAAGGTAAGAACATTAAATTTTGATTTAAATATGTTATCTTTTAAACTTGAAAATATTGGCCTGCTAAAAACTGGTTTAAGAATTCATGTAACTCAAATATCTGTTTATTGTGTATTTCATTATATATATATATATATATATATATATATATATATATGATTTTTTTTTTTACCCTCACCCGAGGACATTTTTGCATTTATCCTCAGATAGAGCAGGAGGGAGAGATAGGGGAAGAGGGAGAGAGAAACATCGATGTTAGAGAGACACATCGACTGGTTGCCACCTACACGGCCCCAACTGGGGTGGGGGCAAATTGCAACCGAGGTACGTTCCCTTAGTGGGAACCAAACCCAAAACTCTCTGGTTCATGGGACGACTCTAACCACTGAGCCAAACTGGCCAGGGCTCATATTATATTTAATTAGAATATCTAAAAGGTATGAAATGCATTTTGTTTTTTGGTTTGGATGAGATTCATTTGGAATTGCACTACTCAAGCAAGGAAAACACACACACAATTACTTCATTAGACACAACACAATTGAAAAAAGTAAGACAAATGTCTGCCTTAGAAGTTTATCAATAATTTCTTGTATATAAGTATATATTTACAGAGTGGCTTAGAATCCTTTTCTACAATCCTTTAGATGCCGTCCAATGGCTAAAAACTCTATAATGAGGCATATGGTTACGGAAGATATAAGTCATGATTCTCAATGATCTTTTTTTTTTCTTTTTTTTTTGTCTAACTTTATTACTCTTTATTTGAGAAGAGAAAAATGTTCGTTTTCATCTGCTGTATCTAAGATTCTACAGATCACTGGAGATTCAACACCAAGGATATACTGACAGGAGTGAGACTCTAACATATATTCAATGACAGCTTGAGAATCTGCTCTGCACTTTAGTTTTAGTCATCTGTCTTGGTTTGTCAGTAATATCATAGACATCTCCACTCCCAGAATGATGACAACATCATCACTGTGTGGATACCATTTCTGAAAGACAATAGATTCTAACAGTATTATTCTAAGTCCATTTAATATGCTCATCTTGGTTTCATATCCTCGCAAGCAAAGAGGTTTTCCCACTGTCCTTTTCCTTATGGTATGGATGTGCATATTCGCCATGGCAGGATCTACATATCTGTGAAAACAGCCCTGTGAAAACACCAAGATCCACTAAGAGCTCTTTAATGAGTTGACCATCTGCCAGTTTGAATATCTGAGTTTTTCTGAGGGTGTGCATCAACCGAGTGCCAGTGCAATGGGTTGGTAGATTGCAAGAAATCTCTCTTTTTTAGTTGATTGCAACACTTCATCTTTATTTCTTCATATGCTTTTGTATTAATATATTTGATTTCCTGATTGCCTTTCAATGGATGTTGAACTTAGTAAATAAGAATTTTTGATGAATAAAAATGATACAAATAACTAATAAAAATATTCATTTAGTTGACATTTATATCACTAGAGGCAAGTTAGGCAAATTCTTTGAAGTGTAAATTATCTTGTAAGTTTTGGTAAAAGAATATTTAATCATTCAAAAGTCAATGAGGGACTTCCGGTCCAGATGGTGGCGTAGTAACGGTGGTATCACGTCCTCCCACAACCACATCAATGTTACAACTAAAGTACAGAACAACCATCATTCAGAACCGCCTAAAATCAAGCTGAATGGAAGTCCTACAACTATGGACTTAAAGAAGGAGCTGCATCGAGACTGGTGGGAGGGCGGAGGGGACGGGCTGGTCCCACACCCACGTGTGGTGGATAAAAATCAGGAGGACACCTCGGCTGGGAAGGTCCTTCCTGAGGACTGAGGGGTCCCCGTCCCACACCAGGCGCCCCGCTCAAGGTTCCAGTGCCAGGAAGAGAATCCCCATCACTTCTGGCTGGAAAACCAGCAGGAACTGAGGCTCAGGGAGGCCGAGGCGGCTAGAGCCCCAGGCAGCTCCTTAAAGGGCCCGCGCACGGACTTATCGGACTCTCTCCCTCTAAGCTCGGAGGGGAGGCAGCTCGAGGGGCGCCAGAGACATATAGGGAAGAACTGAGCTGTTTGGCACTGGAGCGAGGGCTGGAGAGGGGGCTTTCTCTGGGACAGACGTGCTGTCAGAGGCCTTTGTTCCTTTGGTGAGCCCTGCCCTGGAGTGCCAGACAGTCGCCATATCTGGGACCCCAGCAACCTGGCTTACACTGGTAGCCCCGCCCTGCTGACTCACTGAGGCCCCGCCCCACCCAACTTTCAGGCCCACCCAAGCTGTTGCCAGTTGCTTAACCATAGAATTGGCCTGTCTTGGATCCTGCTTCAGGTTTTCCTAAATTCTTTCAAACGAGCAGCATCTGGTCTCAGCGAGCCTCATACCTCTCATTAAGTAATACACAGAAACAAACACAGGGAGGCAGACATAATGAGGAGACAAACAAACAGGTCCCCAATGAAAGAACAGAACAAAACCCCAAGAAAAGAACTAAATGAAATGGAGATAAGCAACCTAACAGCTGCTGAGTTCAAAATACTGCTTATAAGGATGCTCAATGAACTCAGTGAGGGCCTCAAGAGCATAAAAAAGGACCAGTCAGAAATGAAGGATGCACAGTCAGAAATGAAGGAGGCACTAACTGAAATAAAGAATAATTTACACAGATTCAATAGTAGAGTAGGTAAAGCCAAGAAGCAAACCATTGATTTGGAATCTAAGGATTGGGTGCAAAAAACACCCAATCTGAACAGAAAAAAGAAAAAAGAATCCAACAAAATGAGGAGAGTGTAAGGAGCCTCTGGGACAACTTCAAGTGTGCCAACATTCGCATCTTGGGGGTGCCAGAAGGAGAAGAGAGAGAACAAGAAATCGAAAAGCTATTTGAAACAATAATGGCAGAAAACTTCTCCAACTTGGTGAAGAAAACAGACATCCAAGTCCAGGAAGCACAGAGAGTCCCAAACAAGATGAACTCGAAGAGGCCCACACCAAAACACATCATCATCAAAGTGTAAAAGGTTCAAGACAAAGAGAGAATCTTAAAAGCAGCAAGAGGAAGGCATCTAGTTACCTACAAGGGAGTTGCCATAAGGCTGTGAGCTGATTTCTCAAAAGAATCTTTGCAGGCCAGAAGGGAGTGGCAAGAAATATTCAGAGTGATGAAAAGCAAGAACCTACAACCAAGATTACTCTATCCTGCAAAGCTGTCATTTAGAATCAATGGCTATATAAAGAGTTTCCCAGACAAGAAAAAGTTAAAGGAGTTTATCACCACCAAGCCGTTATTAAATGAAATGATGAAGGGTCTTTTTGAAGAAAAAGATAAAATATATGAACAAAAAAAAATGGCAATGAATACATATCTATCAACAATGAAATCTACAAACGAAATGAACAGGCAGAACAGAAACATTCTCATAGATACAGAGAACATTTTGTTGTTTGCCAGATGGGGGAATGGGTGAAAAAGGTGAAGGGATTAAGAAGTACAAATTCATTGCTAGACTGACAAACCTCAAAGGGAAAGGGGCTGGGGGGGTGGGAAGAAATAAACCAAAGAACTTATATGCATAACCAATGGACACAGACAATAGAGTGGAAAAAGGCGGGAGGGGGGTGGGAGTGGGGAGGAGGGGGTCAATGGGGGAAAAATGAGGATCATCTGTAATACATTCAACAATAAAGATTTGAAAGAAAAATGTCAATGAGTAAGATGTCATTATTATGCAAAACAATTTGGGGATAATTTTACTGGCTTTAACTCTGATTGAAATATTTGCAAAAATATGAAAATATATAGATATTCTTATTTAAGAATATTAGCAATCTCTCTCCCTGACACAGTAAATCTGTCAAGTGTGAAGGATTAAAGGTTTGAATGACATGAGTCCATTTATATATGGCTAGTTTTTAAAAAATAAATATATTGTAAATGGTTTTGAAAATTTGGGACAATTTAAAAAAATTGCAGATGAACCACGTAGCCTAGAAATTTAAAAAATATTTAAGTATGTCACGAATGCATAAAATATATGTATTTTCTCTTTGTTATGATTTTTCTAATATTTTTTTTTCTCTAGCTTACTTTATTGTAAGAATATAGTATATAATACATATAACATACAAAATATATGTTAATTGACTGTTTATATTATTGGAAAGGCTTCCAGTCAACAGTAGGCTATTAGTAATTAAGTTTTGGGGGAGTCAGAAGTTCAATACAGATTTTTGACTGCGCAAGGGATCTGCATTCCTAATCCCTGCATTGTTCAAGGGACAATTGTATTTTTATAGTCCCTAAAAGCTAGGTTTTAAAGAAGCCAGCGTTGTCTTACCACCGTATTTTCCTATTCTCCCCCATTAATATCTCTATGAACATAAGGAAGGTGAGTGTGTCTAATATATGGTGACAGAAGATGGTTTGGCTCTGGGTGGTGGGCACACAGTGCAATATGCAGATCTTGTATCTAGAAATGTACACTTGAAACCTATATGATCTTATTAAACACTGTCACCCCAAAAAGTTGCATTATTTAAAAAAGGCATAAATAAAAAGAAAGGTATAAACAGTGAAGTTAGAGGGTGTCATTTTCATCCTGTGTTTCTGGCATTCAGATGTAGAGGATGCATGTTGTCCAGGAATAAAGTCATCTTCCTATATGTTATAAATGGAAAGAGAAACAAAAGTGTAGAAGAAGCCCTGTAACGTTAATGTTGGCCAGACACCTGAAATTTGGTGAGACTCTTTGTACACAAAATAGCACAGACACTGAAAATGATAAATGTAGTTCTATACATGTGAACAGTAAAAGGGAACCAGGATAATCAGCCTATGTGTATATGGGCAAATGCCAGCACTGGATCCTCTTCTCATTGTTTACATCTTCGTAGAGTCGTGCAGCTTATTCACTGCAGTAGCTTCGAGGCTCACTGTTCACATAGATAACAATATGATCGTAATGTACTTGAAGCTTTGTAACATAATAGATCTGGTTATAAGCAGTTTCTCTTTTTAACCAAA